TCACTTCATGGCAAATAGATGGAGGAAAAGTGGAAGCAGTGACAGACTTTATTTTCCTGGGCTCCAAAATCACTGCAGATGGTGACTGCAGCCATGAAATTAAAAGATGCTAGTTCCTTAGAAGAAAAGCCATGACAAATCTAGGCAGTGTATTAAAAAGCAGAGACACTACTTTGCCTACAAAGGTCCATATAGTCAAAGCTATGGTTTTTCTAGTAGTCATGTATGGATGTGAGAGTTAAGACCATAAAGAAGGCTGAGGCTGAGCACCGAAGAACTGATGCTTTTGAACTGTGGTTCTGGAGAAGACTCTTGAGAGTCCCTTGGCCTCCAAGGAGATCAAACCAGTCAATCAATAAAGGAAATCAATCCTGAATATTCATCGGAAGGAAGATGCTGAAGCTGAAACTCCAATACTCTGGCCACTCTGATAAGAGCTGACTCATTGGAAAAGACTGATGCTGGGAAAGACTGAAAAAGATCCCGAGTCAACCCATTAATGAACAGAGTTAAAGGTTATGCCAGCAGCCAGCAAAATTGAGTTTATTGGGGAGTAAGAGGGATTCTTTACCACCTGGGCCACCAGGGAAGCTTCCCTGGTGGCTCAGATGGTAAAGAATTCGCCTGCAATGCAGGAGACCTGGCTGGATTCCTGGATTGGGAAGACCCCCTGGAGAAGGGGTAGGCGACCCACTCCAGTATTCTTGGGCTTCCCTGGTGGCTCAGATGGTAAGGAATCTGACTGCAATGCGGGAGACGTGGGCTGGGAAGATCTCCTGGAGGAGGGCATGGCAACCCACTCCAGTATTCTTGCCTTGAGAAATCCAATGGACAGAGCAGCCTGGCAGGCTACAGTCCATGGGGTCGCCAAGAGTTGGACATGACAGAAGCGGCTAAGCACAGCATAGTGCTGATGCTGGGAAAGACTGAGGGCAGGAAGAGAAAGGGACAACAGAGGATGAGATGGTTAGCGAGTATCACCAACTCAACGAACAGGAATTTGAGCAAACTCTGGGAGATAGTCAAGGACAGAAGAGCCTAGCACACTACAGTCCCTGGGGTTGCAAAGAGTTGGACACAACTTAGGGACTGAACAAGATGAAGGATCTGAATATGCTGCATTCCCACATCACTATTCCTAAACACTTTGTCTTGATTGAGTACTGAGTCCATCTATATAACTGACATGAACAACACAGGGGTTAGGGGTGCTGACCCTCTGAATATTAGAAAATCTGCCTATAATTTATAGTCAGCCCTCCATGTAGAGTTTCTCCATATAGCAGTTCCTTTGTGTAAGTGGTTTCACATCTGAGGATTCAACAAACAGCAGATTGTGCAGTACTACAGTATTTACTATTGAAAAAACCACATATATGTGGACCCACACAGTTCAAATCCATGTTGTTTCAGGGTCAGCCGTATAAAAGTATGAATAGATAGAGCCTCATCTATATGCTGTGCTTTTGAGAATCATTCTACCAGTGTTTTTCATTTAATTAACAAAGTACATCATTTATGTGAAGAGCTCCTTTTGCCTTTGAACAAATGAGTGGTATGTTAAAGACAGCACTCCTTGGCCTATATATGCCTTAAAACTTATAGCTTAATGTACAGAAATTATACTCCCTTTCTCCAAATAGATTTAAACCCCCAGTTCAACTAGGGTTAAGAAAATTCATAACCATCACTGTTAGACAATTGACATCCATAAATTTTTACCAGCAATAGTTTATCTTCTCAAAAGGACAACCCTTGTGAAGTACATGATGGCAAGATTAGATAGGAGTAGTGTAATTTATTTTCTTATACACTGAGTTTGTTCAAAAATAATCAGAAGTGTCATTATACAAAAAGTAAAGTTTGGCTGATCCTTTGTTCTTTTAAATAATCCAAGATTTCATTTAGAGCCACAACCTCTAACTAACAGGTTAAAACTGTTAGGTTTACTTCAATTACTATCTTGCAAAGTTCTGGTTTTCAAGGATTAGACAAGTCTTAAGTAAAGTTTCAGCTTTTGTTTCATGAAAGTCACAATTACACTATCATCTGAAATGGCTTTCTATGAGTTATGGTATTGAAACCAGAGACACACCGAGAACAGCCTGTGCTGATGAAGGCAGAGACTGGAGAGATGCAGCTACCAGCTGAGGACCACCAGAAGCAGGAAGAGATGGAGATCCTTCCCTCAAGAGAGCAAGCCCCAGCCCTCACCCTGACTTCTAACTTCTAGCTTCAAGCCTGTGCAACAAGAAGTTTCTATTGTTTCTGTCACTGTCTGCAGCAGCTTAGGAAATCAGTGTAGATTTTGGTACTTTTATGTTACACGATATCCTTAAATCTAGCATTGTTATTGGTCATCCTAGTTTGCTCTAGTGGAAAGGAGAAATCAGTGAAAGAGTAATTCATGATTCACCTCCATTTGGGGGCTAATATTTGGAAAATAACTCCAAATTTAAATTTAACCACATAGAAAACAAAACTAGGAAATTCAGATACTTTCAAAAATAAGTTCTTCGATGTTTTATCATATTTGATAGCAGCTTTTTTATTGGTTACAAAACCTAAGCCCATATACAAAATTAGGAACACATTTAGATGCCTCTTTTGAAAGAACGTTTTAGTCTTTTTTAACTGAGTTTAAAAAAAATAAAAACAATGCAAATTTTCAACACTGTTTTGAAAACGTAAAAGTGCAGCAATATACTTAGTTTCCTTTGTCTACGAAATGATGCAATTCCAATTCCAAACCGATAGGTCACAACAAACTGGATCAAGCCAATGCACACGGACGTCTGCACTACTTGATGCTAATGTTCACTTATGTTAGTTTGCACTTAAAACACAAGAGGAAATAGGAGTCGGCACAGTAGAGGCCCAATTCAGTCTCAACGTGTGCAAAATTTAAAAGGTAACTGTCAGTAACTATGGGGAGTCCAGAAGGAAGTAAACTGGAAGGGGTATAATTCACAATATCAAGAAGATTTGGACTTTAAGGGTTTCACCGAAGTTTGTGACCTTAATTAGCTTTGACTTTATTACTCCTACTTTTAGTGAACACCACACAGTTTCAAAAATTTAGACCATGGTGTCTGAACAGGATGCAGTTACCACATGAAGCTTTAACTCAAAATTTGGATAAAGAAAAAAAGGCACAATGAACTTCAACTCAATTTTATGTGCACAAGAGTTGAAAAGTCTGAGCCACCTTAAAGAGAAATTGATTCTAAAATTTATAAAACCTATAAATAATCAGAGGCCAAACCACTATATTAAAACAGATTCTCTAGCAAGTAAAAATCTTGCATTTTAAACATACGCTTGTATCCACTTCAGATACAAGACAAAACTCACTCTTTAAAGTGGCTCCACCTTGGCAGATACATATATTTGTAATGAATGCACACCTGCTATGCGTTGTTTATCAGTGAAAACACCCCCGCTGATTCACAAAGCTCTGATGGCATGTGTCTCATCTTCATCACAGTAAATACACCCCCTCCCATCGGATAACTAAATTAGTTTCGATTTCCTATCCCTTCACATCAACGCGTTGGGAAATTATACCCAGTAAACAATAGCAACAAAACCATTCCTGTGACAGCACAAACTGTTCAGTTTAAAAAATTTCAAATCCATATTCTTTCATTAATAACTGGGTCAGACAATTTACCAAAAGCAATGACTTTACACAGTTAATACCAGATTTTTCAGAATTACTTGAAGATCACTGCAAATCAGATTTATATTAAATAACTGCAGATTATTCCTGTAGGCAGATCCTTGTCTGAATCTTTTTATATGTGAATATGCTTTTAGAGTAGGATCTGAATGAACTTCCCAATACTCAAAGAATGAAGTTTTATGACACTTCTAGATAGTTGCTGGTTTGTTGCCAACCACATTATCAAAAGCACTGGTTACTAAGTAAAAAATATTTTAAGACTAAATTACAGTAAACATGAAAGCTCCACAGTTTAAACCCAATATAAATCAACCATATCCAATTATCAATTTAAAATGAAAAATATTAACTCCTGAAAGCTGAAAGCAAGGTTTTCTTTTTTAATATCACCAATGGGTACTTTAGACCTTTGTGTTTTTTTGGTTTTATTTATTTGTTTATTTTTCTTTATGGTCAGGGATTCTTGCTTTCAACTTAAACAGAAGTTCAAGTCCGTAACAGGTTGCAGCTCAGGTAAAATACCATGCACAGCATTTGATTACTTCAAAACAGCAGGAACACACAGGCTGAAGTGAGTGGTCAAATAGGGCTTGCTGTTCTCAAAAATTAGGTATAATGGCAAAAGCGTTACCATCCATAGCTAAAGTCCTTCCTCCAACCCTGGCTTCTGAGGCAGATAACAAACACATCAATTACTGGTAGATGAAGCACAGTTTTTTAGAACTTATCTGTTTAATCAATAACCAAGTTTCTTTTTTTTTTAAGTTACTTTTTGTTTGTGTCAGTTCCACCAATGAAAATCATTTGGCTTGTACTTTTAAAATCTATTCTTCCACATAAAGAGTATGAAAATATGTTTGTGGAGGACAATGATGGAGGCTCAGATCAGACTGCACCTCTTTAAAGTCTTCCAACGCGTGTATGTGTCATATCAAAGTGTCTTGATCCACAGCGCACCATTTTACAAAGGAGTATCAAGTGGGCAGCTGACATGCCACCACTACGGAATATTCTAAACTGGAGACTGCAGATGTCAGCGTGTGGCACCAGGGAACGGGGGAAAGTAGGGTAGTCGAGATTGTTAAGGAGAATTCTAAAACAGTTTAGGAAATCATGCATATGCATTTACAGTCCATGTGGATAGTGACTTTTGGCAACTGCAAAGTGACTGAGACATGGCTTGCTTCAGAAGCATCAAAACAAAGAGGCATGTATGTCTTGGAGCCTTCGATAGTTGCTGTTGCTCTTGTCATTTTGGTAGCCATCTGGTGGTGCTTCGTATTCAATGTGGGATAGATGCTGCACTCAACTGACTTTAAAAATTGAATTCTTTTGTTTGAAGGTTGGCTGTTGGGTCAAAGTTGTAAGTACCTCCTTGTGTTGCTTCGGGAATGAGGCTAGGATCTTCATCAATCTACAAAAAGCAAGAAAAAGAATTTTCATTATGTTAAGATACTATACATTACAGTGTAAGCGGAGTTGATTTACTTCTTAGGAAAGAATTCTGTGTGTATGTTTTTATTACCTAAAAATATTTTAAGTAAATCAACAATGCTATTAAGAAATTTAACAACTTAGGGCCTCCCTGTTGGCTTAAAGGTACAGACACCAACTGCCCCCAATGCAAGGGACATGGGTTCTATCCCTAATGTGGGAAGATCCCACCTCTATGCAGCAACCAAGTCCGTGTGCCTCAACTACCGAGCCTGTGCTGTGAAGACCAGGAGCCACAACCGCTGCAGCCCGTGTGCCCTCCAGCCCTGCGCTCTGCAACAAGAGAGGCCACCGTGATGAGAGCCAGTGCATGCCCCTGGGGCGTAGCTGGCACAGCAACCAAGACCCAGCACAGACAGAAATAAAAAAAGAGTCAGCAATTTAAAACTGAACATTTAAAAACTGCCCCATTCTTAAGTTTCTGTATCTGTAGATTTATTTTACCTATTTGAACATACATCATTTCTATAATTACTATTTCTTCCCATTTAACAAATTACAAAAGCAAAGGTGACAGAAATACAGTATAAATTTAGTCATGAAAAATTAATTCTCAGTTAAGTTACTTTATGTATAGATTATAATGTACATGCAGACACACTATAATATATACTTACATCATCACCAGAGAAATACTGATCTATGATTTCAAATGCTAATTTATATATGTCTTCATTTTCATGTTGCTGTAAAACTTCAATTTTCTCCAAACCTGATGATAATTAAAATAATTAAGTACATACTAATAAAGAAACTGTGCTCATTTAATCATGAGACATCCTAAAGAACTAAAAACACCCTCCCTACCACCCTCCAAAGATGAGTTCATCTAAAAAACAGATAAAACCCTCAGCTGTTCTGGCTAGAAAACCAACATCTCACTAATTTCTTCCTCTTTAGAAGCCCTTGAGGTACCCTGTTCCCTGAGGCAGGCAGTTTAAAAATCACCTAAACACTCCAATTGACAGATGAGGGAGTGTGGCACAGATATAAAGGGGTTTGTTTCAGGTTATATGGCAAGTGAATGACAGGACTAGAACCAAGATCTCCCCAGCCTAAGATTCCTTTAGTATAATCATACTGTTGCATACAATAATTTTTTAATCTTTTCTTTGTTTTCCAAATGTTACTCAAAGATTGACATATATAGAAGATAAAGCTTTAAATTCAGAAGTGATTTCTTAAAAAAAAAAAAGGACAAAAGAAATACCGTGCTTATCTCCTTTATAGCCACATCAGTCTGGGAAATACTTTTTCGGAATAGTTAACTGTAGAATGCCTTTATTTATATTCCCAAAATATTTACTCCATATATCAGATGCAACTCCATTAAATCCTCGATACTAAATATTCTTCCTTGCATGTCTTTTTAGCTAAGTTATTTTGAAGTAGTTTCAAAATAACTGCTTTTTAAAATTTTTTATATAGTAACAAATTTAAGTTACTATATAAAAAAATTTAACTTTTTTCTATAGTAACATCCAAACCAGAAAAATGGGAAAATGGGTATCAAAGATAATGGATGTAGAGTGCTTTATAAAATCATAAAATGCTAAGTAAATATGTATCCTAATTATAAGTATTTATCTCACAGACAGAAGCAACTATACTGATAAAAAGCTGGAGTAACAATTCTATAGCTCAAACTTTCTGGGTTAAATTGTTTTGAATCAGACTACAATGCTCATTTCAAATTATTTAAAAAGTAAAACATCTTTAAAAATAAAAATAGTTCCACTGATTTTATTTATTCCTATTTAATTTTTAAAAAATTAATTTATTTAACTGGAGGATAATTACTTTACAATACGGTGGTGGTTTTTGCCATACATTGACATGAATCAGCCATGGGTACATGTGTCTCCCCGATCCTGAACCCCCCCTCCCACCTCTCTCCCCACTCCATCCCTCTGGGTTCTCCCAGGGCACCGGCTTTGAGTGCCCTGTTCCATGCATCGAACTTGCACTGGTCATCTCTTTCACATATGGTAATATACATGTTTCAATGCCATTCTCTCAAATCATCCCACCCTCGCCTTCTCCCACATAGTCCAAGTCTGTTCTTTACATCTGTGTCTCTTTTGCTGCCTTGCATATAGCATCGTGGTTACCAGCTTTCTAAATTCCACATATATGCATTAATAAAACATCTTAAAAACAAAATGAATAGTGAATTAATAGTAGTACAGTATGAAGATCTGGCTGTTAATTATGCTTCTAGCACAAACGACTTCTCTGACCATGGACAAGACTCCTTAATATCTCTAGGATATTTTCTTCTTGTTATTAAGAAAACACTTTCTGTCTGAATGCTATCACATTTGTTTTCACTTAATCTTATGCAGCATGACTTCAAAAGGAGTAATTGTGTTTCCTAAAAAGCATTGTAAAACTCAAGAAGGTTATGGAGTGACTTTCACAATCAGCTGTTTTCTGGAAAATCTTCCTGGATTACTAACATAGCAAATAAAGAATAGCAATATCCTCAGATGACATTAATAGCAATGTATCCTAGCACTTTTCTTTCAAATTAACTGTCTTTAAAGGAACTAATGTTTCAGAGTTCCACAGCTCAACTATTTTTCTTTTATCACCTCTCTTACCTCCACATTCTTCTATTATTTCAGCTATTGTGCTTGCTTCATCACCAGCCATTATCAGAATGTTTTTCAGACCATCCAGAACCACCTGAACAACTTGAGAATCTTTTACTGACAATAAATTACAGAATGGTGGTATTACATTCTGCTGTACAAGGTATTCAACCTAGACAATAAAAGAGAAGAGATACTCTTATTTATATAATTACCTCTTCCTCCAAAGGAATACAGTACAGGGCTTGTAAACAGTCAAAAACTCCTAAACACAGACAGTAGTATACTTCCCAGTATTAACAATCATAACATTTTTTTTTCCAGACTCACTTGATCTTTTCTGCCACTTATTGTCAAGTTGCTAATAGCCCAAGCAGCTTCTTTTTGTGTTCCAAAGTCCCCCTGAAGATTAAAAATGAAATGCTGAAATGAATTTTTTGCTCAAAAAGTCTTGGTTATAACATATTAACAGACATGATGAACTCATAACAATGACTGACCTTGGCAAGCTGATGAATAATCATAGGAATTAATCCAGCATCTATTACAGCTTGAACTTGTTGCTGGTTGCCTGCTGTAATGTTGGAAAGGAACCACACTGCTTCCTATAATTAAATAAAATACAGGGCACTTTTATTTGAAAAATTGTATCTTTAATGTGCTTATGCTCTTATTTAATGTGGTTTACATATACAATAACAAAATCATCTCAGTTGCAATAAGGCAAATGCATCTAAAAGTGATTAAGCAATACAGTATCTTCCATTTTAAACATATTAGGAAACTTTGAAGCATAATATCTTGGCCCATTAACCTAGCATAACCTTCAATAATACAGATGCTTAGGACTACACCCTAAGCACTATTTTAGACACTGGTGACATGGCAGTGAACAAAACAGACAAACAAATCTTTATGCAAGGACCTTACATTTTTGCTGCATGAGTCCCTCTCAATAGTGGTCAACTTTTTTGGCACCAGGGACCAGTTTTGTAAAAGACAACTTTCCCACAGAAAGGGGTGGCAATTGGGATGATTCAAGGGCATTGTATTTATTGAGCACCACCACCTCAGATCAACAGGCAATAAATTCTCATAAGGAGCTCATATCTAGATCTCTCGCATGCACAGTTCACAGTTGGGTACAAGCTCCAAGAATCTAATGCTGCTACTGTTCTGATAGGAGGTGGAACTCAGACGGTAAGGAAAGCAATGGGGAGCAGCTGTAAATAGAGATGAAGCTTTGCTCGCTTGCCCTCTGCTCACCTCCTGCTGTGCAGCCCCAATTCCGAACAGGCCAGGGACTGGTACTAGTCCTTGGCCCAGAGGTTGGGGACCCCTGCTCTAAAAGACAAATGACAGAAATAAATAGAAGACAGAATTTCCTAATATTCTGTTAAAACTACTACTAAGAAAGATGAATTGCTTTATTGTAAAAATACTTACTCGCAAAATATATTAGAACTTAAGTCTCTAACTAGTCTAAGAATGATCTATATGACAAATTTTATTGTAACCTTAGAGGATTTATGTCATGAACAAGCAGGTTTCTTTCTAAGTTTACTGTTATAAAGTACTATCTTCTTCCTCCTCTACAACTGAAAGATTATAGGAGAGCCCCCATTGGCCTAGTGATTACAATTCAGCACTTTCCTCACCACAGCCTGGTTCAATCCCTGGTCGGGGAACTCAGATCCCACAAGCCCTGTCACATGGCCTAAATAAATAAATAAATAAAATAAAAAGATGGTACAACTTTTTGCCATCCAATTTTGGTGGGATATTAATAACTGGTTAACTGGTGTTTTAGAGTACAAGGGTGTTTCACTACACTATTTTTGCAAATTTCTTGTACATTTGAAAATTTTGAAACTAAAAGGTTGAGGGGGGAAAAAAAACCGAGTTGGTAACTTACACCTCCAAAGAACTATGATATAACCAATATGCAAATAACACAAACACTCAAGGTGAAGACTTCTGCAACAACTACCTCCTTGCTGAAGCTGAGGCGATATCTATCTATATACATTTTCCCCTATGATACCTTCACTCAGAGTATATCAGATCCCAGGCCAGAACTTCTCTACCTACTCCTGTCCAGTTCCTCACTTTTCAGCCTTGCTTCCAATTACAGAATACTAATACATTCGGTTGTAAAAATCACGTATATTTGCCTAGAGTCTAAAAGACTCTGGCTTCTTTCCCTTCATTGGAACAAATTGAAAGTCAAAGTGTTAGCTGCTCAGTCGTGTCCCACTCTGCGATCCCGTGGACTGTAGCCCACCAGGCTCCTCTGTCCATGGGATTCTCCAGGCAAGAATCCTGGAGTGGGTAGCCATTCCCTTCTTCAGGGGATCTTCCAGACCCAGGGATCAAACCCAGGTCTTCTGTATCACAGGCAGACTCTTTATCACCTTAGCCACCAGGGAAGCTCACTGGAACAAAGGCACCTACAAAATGTGATTTCTGGTAACATACTTTTCTGTAAAAATCCAACTATCAAATTTTAGTCAAGGAACTATATAAATATAGTTAAGATAGAGAAGAAATAAGCAGTTCTGTTAGTCTGAGGGATGGTGGCATTTCAGGCAGATAAAACTGTATTACACTACATGCAAATCAAAACAAGCAGACACTACCTTCACAGTAGTAGGATGGCAACAATAATAATTAAAAAAAGGAATTGGAGGGACTTTCCTCGTGGTCCAGGGGCTAAGACTCCTTGCCCTCCCAATGCAGGGGGCCTGGATTTGATCCCTGGTCAGGGAACTAGATTTCACATGCCACAATGAACAATCCTGCATGCTCTAATGAAGACTGAAGATCCCACCTGCTGCAACTAAGATCTGGCATAGTCAAATAAATAAATAAATTATATATACATAAAAGAAGACTAGAACCTTCATAACACTGCTTATAAGGAATGTAAAATGGTGCACTGCTATGGAAAGAAGCTTGATGGTTCTTCAACAAGCTAAACATGCAATTATCATATGACTGGACAATTCTACTCATAAAGATATACACCCAAAGGAACTGAAAGCAAGGACTCAAAAACCAAGGTTCACAGCAGTACTATTATTCACAAGAGCCAAAAGGTAGAAACAATCTAAAAGTGTACATCCATAAATGAATGTATAAACAAAATACAGTATATAGGTACAATGCAGTATCTATTCAGCAATAAAAAGGAATGAAATTTTGATATAAGCTCCAACATGGATGAATGCTAAAAACATGTAATGTGAACTAAACTAGACAAGACTAAAGTACTTCAGCACATGTTTAACAGTAAGTTTATACCGTAAGCTTAAAATTTTAAAAAACAAAAACCAAACAGAAAACAATTTTACTGATCCTTTAATTTAGGCACTGTAGTTTTACATTCAATCTAATTTTGTAGGGAGATTAAATTATGATCTATTTGTTTATAAAAAACACCAGCCCCCCCCCCAAAAGATAATAGCCACCCAATGGAAAATTTCATATGTTCTTTCCACCTGAAAGTGAAAGTGAAGTCGCTCAGTCATGTCCGACTCTTTGTAACCCCATGGACTGTAGCCCACCAGGCTCCTCCATCCATGGAAGTTTCTAGGCAAGAGTACTGGAGTGGGTTGCCATTTCCTTCTCCAACCTAGTGGCTACTAATTTGTTGATCACTGCTACTGCTCAATATATTGAAATAAAAACACTGGTTAAAATGAAAACAATTTTATTCTGTGATGATCATGGCAGCACTTACAGCAGGCAATTAAGAACTGAAAGAAAATAACTGCAGCGGTGATCTGAAATTAACCAGAGTGGTCTGAAGAGAATCACAAAGGAAAAGCAATCGAAACAAGAAGGTAGTTAAAAATGAGATATACAAAGAGAAAGAAATGCATTGATGGGGCTGTTATATGTCTTACCTTATTTATCTTCTCTTTTGGGTGTGATAGGAGGTTTGGGAAGTGTGACAGGACATCGCAGTTGAGAACAACCTGGGTCTGTTCGTCTGTACCTGTCACTATGTTGCCAACTGCTCTGAGTGCTGCTGTCTGGGTGGGGATAAAATATGTTCTATAAATTTGTTTATGATGAAACTGATTTTATGTTTTTTATAATCCTGAGAAAATGTAAAAATGCAAGTGGTGAATGATTAAAACTTACTGCATTCTTATACAAAGCATTTCATAGAACTGAGAAGCAATTCTGAATTTTAAACAATTCTGAATTGTAAAAACTGGAACTATACAGGAAAAATTATATGAAAAACTGTTGGAGAAAAGATTAAAATAAAAAAATGTAAAGGTCTGTTTTTTTCATAGCTATTTTTATCTATTAGTAAACTGGCACCACAGAAAGATTTTAATAAAGGCCCAGAATGGGTACAGATTTCTATCTAAAGTCATTTTGGCAGAAGTGGGATGAACAGATCTATCAGTGATGTGATGAGAAATGAGAGAGAGAGAGAGAGAGAGAGAGAAAGAGAAAGAAATGCAGTTATCCAGAGAAAAGAAAATAAACCTTGAATTAAATGAGTGGCTCTCGATACAAGGAGAAAGACAGATGTGAAAGCTATACAGTAAGGACTGACAGGATTTTGAAATGGTGAGGAGATAAGGGGAGGAATACCAAGGTTCCTAGCTTGGACTATGCTGTCCATTAATAGGGGGTATATGAAGAAGAGTCGGTTTGTGGGAGAAGACGGAATGTTCATTTTTGCCTACTTGAAATAATAACAGAATATTATTGAAGGAGGTTCTTGGCAGTTATGTCTGAGGACTCAAAGACAATTGGCTATATATGAGTCTGAAACTCAGCAAAGAATCTGGGTTAGATAAAAGATTTAGAAATCAACAAAATCAGATTCAGTAAAATAGCAGAAGAAATACTGAAGAAATGTGCATACAGACAGAACTGAAGCTTGGTTGTGTAAGTTAACTGGTTATAGCAAGTACAAATTTCATACAAGTAAGAAAAATGCTCAATACTTACTTGAACTTTTACTTCCTGGTGGCTCAGAAGGGGCACAAGAAACGGCACAACCCCTGAATCAATAACCATCTGTATCTGCTCATTACCTCCATCTGTCAGGTACGACAGTGCCCAAACAGTGTCCACGAGAATCTGCAGGAAGTAAAAAAGAATGGCCACTTAATATATTTGTTTGAATGCTTAAGATACATAACACACTCAGGAGATGGTGACATAAAAAGTAATTAAATTTTGTTTTAGCTAGGGAGCAAAAATATCTGCTAAGCTGATACAAGGTCAAACTCTCTCAATGGCTACCTCAGGTCACTCTTCACAAAAATGAAACACAGAAGTCTGGGTCAACTTCTATCCCAACTTCCACATCTATATATTAAGTAGATAAATTTAAAAATAGGCAGAAAAGGAATTCTTCCTGCTCCTACAAACTGAATACCTGATAATCATAAGGAAATACTTTATATACAATGAAACCAGTATGCCATGCTGCTTCAAGTCTAGAAGAGCCCCCAAAGATCATTTATCCATGTTAGTAGTTTTCAAACATGTTTAACAATGTAATTTTTCAGACTATGAAACAGATAAATGACTTGGCATTTTAACTTTAGGAAAATAAAGTTAATTATTTGCAAATCTCTTGAAAAATGCTCCAGCAGAAGAGCACACACTATAAACCACACACCACACCCATCTAACTTTGCAAATGATAAGAAACAAAAACCAGGTTCAGGTTTGTTGACTCATTCAAAGTCAGAGAGCTTATAAGTAGTTTTCCTCGGTGTCTTGACAGAGGAATGTAAGCACAGGTCTGATCCCATGTGAAATCCAGAGATGTTTCCTATTATAAGGCATTTGTTGCTCTAAAATAAATGCTGCCATCTCAATTCAAATCTCTCTATGTATCCTTCAAAAAAAGTTATTAATAACTATTTAATAAGGGCATGTAAAATGATACATAGCCCACACCTTCACCATTACTAGGAGTCTGAGAATGATACAAATTTCAAATTACCTATAAGAAGAGAAAAAACTGAATTCTATCCTTTGTCTGGACTTCCTGCCTTAAGCTTATGCGAGACTTCAGAGAAGAGGAAAGGTGAGTGAAGAGCTTACAGTCACATATCCTAGTAAAGCTACTCCACATTAGTGGGACAGAGACCATGTCACTCAAAAAAGCCTACATTATTTACTATCAGTTCTTTACAGAAAAATCTGCTGACACCCTCACCAGAGGATGACCTTCTTTCAACTAAGAGATAAGTGAAGAAATATTTCAATGTAGATGAAAGATTAACACAAATGGGAGGGTAAGAGTGGAAGAATACTTTTTAAATGATATATGTTCCAGAAAAATAGAAATATTGCAACTTCAAAAATGAGAGGACAGAAGGTATGCCCGAGAGTTGCATCCATCTACCATCCTACCCCCACAAGGAAGGCCCCTTACGGGAGGGTGTGAACAGATGCTGTGTGGGGCAGAGCTTGTCTGCTCCTCAGTCTGGCATTGATAGGTAGCAAGATTTAAATAGAAATCAGAGTCTCATAGCAACACCCAAAATGTGGGCTACAGGAAATGACTCATCATATCAAGAACCAGGATCATCTAAACTGAAAGGGGAAAGGGTGGTCAACAGATGCCAATACTGAGATGACACAGATGTTGGAACTATCTGACAAGAGTTTCAAAGTAACTGTCATAAAAATTCTTCACCAAGCAATTGTGAACACACCTGAAACAAAATATAGAAAATCTCAGCAAATAAAAAGGAGATATAAGGAAGAACCAAACGGATTTTAAATTAACAGACTCAATAATCAAAATTTAACTCATTGGAAGTAGGAGGGAAAGAGAAAAAAACCAACTAACTCAAAGACAGATCAATATAAATCATCCATCGGGGGGGAGGGCAAGATGGCAAAGAATGAAGAGAGCTTTAGGAACTTGTAGAATGATTAACAAAAGACATAACATTTATGTCAGTAGAGTTTCAGAAAGAGGTGAAGCTGAAAAAGTAACTGAAGAAATAATGACAGAAAACTTCCCAAATTGGGCAAAAGACACAAACCTAGATTCAAAGATGGGAGAATAAGTGAGAGAAAAGTGGAAATAGAATAAGACAGTCACTTATTCTATGGGTAAAGACAGGAGTCAAAAAATACCACTGAAACCTGTCAAACCAGACAGTTTGAAAAAAAAAAAAGGCATTATAAAAGGTTTACGTATAAAGGTAATATTACAAGAAAAACAAACATTCCTAAAACCAAAAGAAATTTTTAAAAGAGAGAAAACTAAGTAGAAAATAAAACACAGAACTTATAACTGAAAGTAACAGGACAGAGTTGAAACCAATCATGAACAGGCTTAACTCACCTGTAACAAGAAAAAGATTTTCAAACTGGATCTTAAAACAAAATCCAATTCTATACTGTATACAAGAGACATGCCTAAGTCACTCAGAAAGGCTAAAAATAAAGTGACAAGTAGAGGCACATCAGGTAAGTCAGAAGGAAGCTGAGACTACAAGCCTATGAGCTGACCAGTGTGACTCATTCTACAAATCATTACAAAGAATAAAGGCTACTTTACAAAGCTAAAAACCCCACAATTTACAATGAAGATATAACTGTTAAGGACATCTATTTACCAAATAACCCTATAAATACCAGCATAAAGGAGAAACTAAAAAGATGCAAGAAAAAAATAAAAATATACTGATGAAAGACTTTTCACACACTATTGTCAGCATGAGGTCAAGTAGACAAAAAAATGAGGATACAGATTTTATAAATATATACTGAAATTCAAACCTTGATAATAGATAATATAACATGCAGACGGGGCACAAAAAAATTAGGTCCAAAGTAAACATCAATTACATAAAGCAGAAATACTATAAAATTATTACAAGGCAATAAAATTAGATATTAATAAATACAAAATACTGTATGGAAATTTAAGAGTCTTACTCTTTGATTAAAACATACAAAAAAATTTCTAGACTATTATAATGAAAATACCAAATATCAGAAGCTATGGGATTTATGTAAAGCAGTGTTCAAAGGCAAGTTCACAGCCTTAAAAATGTATACAGCAGAACTTAAAAAGAATGAAAATTGATTCCTAATAAAAAGCTAGAAAAAGAACAGAGTAAACCAAAATAAAGCAAAAAGAAACAACAAATAAAGAAGTAGAAAGAAATGAAGTAAAGAACAGGAAAAACCACAGATCTAATTAAAAAACTGGAATCCTGATTCTTTGAAAAAACTTTTAAAAGTCCTTGTTAACTTAATTAGAGAAAGTGGTGGAGGGAGCACAGACGTACAAAATAAGAAATGATGAAGAAAATAATCCTTGAAACAGTAAATTAAACCCCTCAAAAAAATCTTACAATTATTCTGCATACTTACATGCAAGCAGAGTTGAAAACTGAGAAGAAATGAATAATTTCCTAGGACAACAGCTTACAAAAAACTGACCACAGCAGAGACAGAGAACTTAAGCCAATTTCAATAGCCAGAGAAAATTATCAAGGAACTAATCCCACAAAGTATCCAGACCCAAAAGACTTCAATGGGAAAAGCTACCAAATCTGCAAAGATCAGACAGACAGACACCAGGCCGAACACAGAAAATGAATGAAGAATGATATTTTTAAAATGCAGTAAAAATATAATATTAATACCTAACGAAGACAACATTAAAGCAGCTGTGGATCAATATCATTTAGGTAAATAGTGATATAAAAATTCTGAATAAAATATTAGTGACAGGAGCCCATACTACCTTAAGAAAATAATATATGATAATCAAGTGGAATTACTCAAAGAATGCAAAGATGATTCAATTTTAGGAACATCTACCTATGTCATATTAATAGATTTAAAGAGAAAATAATATAATCATCTTCATCTGAAAAATTCCAACACTCATTCTGAGGTCAACACTCAAAATGGGATTTTATGGACATTTCCTTAACATGATAAAACATCTGTAACCGAGGGATAAAAATCTAAATCAACAAAAGGAATGGCTGATAAATTTGACTACATAAAAAGAAAAAATCTGCATGGCAAAATATATCAAAGACAAAGGACAAATTAGGAAAATATTTGAAATATATATCAAAAGTAAAGAGCTAATGTCCTTAAAACATAAAGAGCTCTTATAAGCTAAGAAAGAGACCAAAAATTTGATAAAAAATGAGCAATAAAAGATGAACAGGCTACTTGAAAAGATGCAAAAATGGCTCTTCAACAAAATCAAGTTCAACTTCACTTTCAAAAAGTGAAACACACACTAAAAATGAAATACAGTTTCTCATAGATCGACAAAACTTTAAATGTGACAGTACATTCTATGGGCAAGGCCAAGGAGAAATTCACTTTTATGTATTTCTGCTGAGAATGCAGACGGCATTGCCCTTATGCAGGGTGTTTGGTAGTGCATAAAAAAATTACAGTGCATTCACTCTCTGATCTAGCTATCCTGCTTCTAGGAATTTACCCTGAAATACACCTCCAGCAATATGAAAATACACAAGATTAATCCCTGCTACATTATTCATATTTGCAAAATTCAAAAAACAGACTAATTGCCTACCCCAAGTAGGATGTTTGAATAAACCTTAGCCACAAAATGGAATACTGTGCATAACAATACTGGTTGCCTTGGCCTGTGATGTTTTAGGTTGCTACATGAAATCTAACTTCGCCCCCTCCATTATAGCCCCCTTCTATTAGCAGAAAATCGTTTTTTCCCCTAATACACAGTAGCCTATAAAAATGAAATATTTAAGATTTCTAAGCTGAAATCAATTCATGGTTTTTGGTGGGATCTCATGACAGCATTCAAAGGCTAGTGGGAGAAAGTAAGCTACAGCTAGATCTCAGGTCCCCTGAAACCGCAGACTCTTCTAGTCCCCCTTCAATTTTTCTTTTTGATAATATATTGGACCTTCAATAAGAAGTCTCATTTTTAAAATGCTTTAAAAATTTGAATTCACAGTACAAGATTATCAGACTATTCAAGTTTCTTCTGTTTTCAGCAGTTTGCTTTCCTCACCTACAATCAGGCTAACAGTTGCTTTAATATTTATAACTGTACCTTTCATTGCCTTTTCCCATCTGAACTGCTTCTGCTATTCTACAACTCCTCCATCTAATATTCTACACCACCCCTCCCCTCCATTTTTTAGATTTCTATGGTTAAATGCCTGGCTTTTACAGTCACTAACAGTCAATGACTATGCTCTTTTCCTTCCAGCTAATAATCAGATTAATCATGTGCCAATGAAGTCCTCAGCAATCCTGAGGTATTTTAATTATTTTTAAAGACCTTTTTTGTACAGTTCTGTGTGTTCTTGCCACCTCTTTTTAATCTCTTCTGTTTCTATTAGGTCCTTGCTGTTTCTGTCCTTTATCATTCCCATCTCACACGAAAGGTTCCCTTGGTATCTCCAATTTTCTTGAAGAGATCTCTAGTCTTTCCCATTCTATTGTTTTCCTCTATTTCTTTGCTTTGTTCACTTAAGAAAGCTTTCTTATCTCTCCTTGATAGTCTTTGGAACTCTGCATCCAGCTGGGTATATCTTGCCCCTTTTCCTTTGCCTTTTGATTCTCTTCTTTCTCAGCTATTTGTAAGGCCTCCTCAGATGATCATTTTTCTTGTTGCATTTCTTTTTCTTCAGAATAGTTTTGATCACCATCTCCTGTACAATGTTATGAACCTCTGCCCACAGTTCTTCAGGCACTCTTATCAGATCTAATCCCTTAAATCTATTTGTCACTTCCACTGTATAATCATAAGGGGTCTGATTTAGGCCATACCAGAATGGTATAGTGGTTTTGCCTACTTTCTTCAAATTTAAGTCTGAAATTTGCAATAAGGAGCTAATGATCTAAGCCACAGTCTTTGATGACTGTATAGAGCTTCATCCTTTAATAAACTAGTAAATATTAACTGTTTGCCTAAGTTCTTTGAACTGCTCTAGCAAATTAATAGAACCCAAGGAGGGGGTCTTGGTTCTCTGCATTAAACCTCCAGTTTAAAGCTGGTTGGTCAGAAGTGCTGGTCTGACTTTTTGACTGGCAACTGAAGTGTTCCTGTGGGTTAGGGGAAGAGGTGGCCACCACGTGGGACTGAGTCCTTGACCTGTGAGATCTGACACTATCTCTGGTTAGTGTTGGAACTGAATTAAATGGTAGGATATCCAGTGGATTGCAGATACTCACTTGGTGTTGTGGGGAACCTCCCCCCAAATACCTACTGCAACATATCTGGCGACCAGAGTATGAGAAGTGAAGTGCTGTGTGTGCAGTAAAGGAGACACGTAGGAGAGAGACCCACAGGAAGAGCTGGGTTTTTTCCCTACACAGAAGGGAAAAGACATTTTCCCTAAACATATCTGTGTTCTTTTACTATAAATTATAAGCATGAGTGTAAAAGCTTTTCAATGATTCCTTCTAGAAAATCACTGAACTTAAAGTTGGTTTCAGGCACCCCTGACATATCATCAGGTGTCACTACCCATCAAGTCTCAGCATATAACCAATCTGCCACAACTGACTGATTTCATTTGTACCAGCAGCAAAGCAAGGTAGACTTGTATTAAATGTTAGGTACAGTCAAAATTGTCTGGGCATATCAAACCATGGATGAGTAACTTCAAAAAGGACAGGAAAACCAAATGCTACAGAATCACTGCAACTGCACGTTGACTTTAAGAACAATAACTAGAAAGAAAATGAACACAGACTGACCTGAATCAGTCCAGATTTCTTTAGTTCTCAGAGTCGGTATGTAGTTCTTCTAATTTCATATAAGCATATTAATGTCCATAAGCCACCTAGTTCTCTCTACACCCCAACACAGCTTCTCCAGCAGTCTCACAAATGACTGTCTCATAAATTAAGTCTTTATTTTTTTTTTGAAGTCTTTAATATTATTCTTTTACTTTTTCACTTCTCCTCTATGATTCTTTCCTCTTGAAGTTCTATTCACTTTATCTTTCCTACCCATTACCACTTTGGGTTCATACCTTCATCAGCTTCCTCAAACCTACTATGATAGCAAAATAGGACAGGTTATGTTCAAATTTGCCCTATTCCAGATCCTCCTTACCTCTTTCAAATTATCTGACTCTAACGGACATGAATATAGCACTCCTCTATTTGAAAATCTTAGTGACTCTGCACTGATTACAAGAGAAGCCCAAACTTCTTGACACAGGATACAAAACCGTGCAATTTAACTTCCCAGCAAAGGGTTCAGTTTATTAATCACCTGGATTCTCCACATCCTCATTTATTCTCTTGAATCCTTAATTTGGTTCCTCTGGTACCTGAAACAACTTTTTCAACTTGACAAAATCCTTCCCATCCTAGTTGTATGACTACACACAAATTAGTTAGCTGTCTTTTTTTTTGTTGTTGTTGTTACCATATTTGTAACATGAAGACAATTTTAATAACCAATCGCATATGATTTTTCTAAAGAATAAATGAGTTAACAATTGAAAAAGTGCTAAAAAACAGTGCCTGGCACACTTAAAACCCGTAATAAATGCTATTAACATAATCATCTTTTTTCACCTCCAACAACACTTCCACCACCATCCTTCTCCTTATAATGCTTGTTTCAAATGTTACTTTCTCAGTGAAGCTTTCTGGTTGCCAAAGAGAACACATGCTTTGATAATTCTAGCATTTTGGTGATTCTGTTTTCTTGTTTGTTTGCACACATACTGTATCCTTATGTGATCATGGAACAAAACAGAATAGGCCTTGACTTGGCTTTGATTCTCAGCCACAGCTTTTATTCATCGTATGACCCTTAGTTAGCTTATTTTACTTTACTGAGTTTCAATTTCCTTACTTGTAAAATAAGAGAACAACATTTATCTCATAAGGGTGCTGGTAAGATCAAAGGAGATTACAGAAACAGATTTAGTACAGCAAGCAACTGACAAAAGCTCATTTCGTTCACTCTTTTTACCTGCTACTAATGCTGACATCTTAGAGAGCAGAGTCTCCATGTCTTCTTCATTTTTGTGCCTACAATTCTTTGTACAATTCTGTCTAAGTGGGACAATCTGTTTTTTTAAACTTGATAAATATACTTAAAACTACAGTACTTCATTACTTTAATACCTCTAGCTTTCAAATAAACAAGACCAATAGGTGGTGGAAGCTTTTATTCCCCTACAATCAATTCCCTAATGTCCTAGGGGGGAAGTCTTGGTGAAAATATCAGGTATCTTTATTTCCCTTTTAATTTTGGCTTTCAGAAAGCTTAGGACTAAGTTTAGCATTCAGTAACAACAAATACACTTTTAAAAACAATTTTACCTCCTCCTCCTGTCTTCTAAGGTATTTATTATCTTATGTCTATTGCTAAGTCACTTTTATATCCATTTTGAAAACAGGACAGTATATAACTAAACAGGATTCACTTAACTGTTATGACAGTTCAGGCAAATAAAAAGTTACTTCAGTTACCCTTAATAGATTCCTTCCTAAGAACTTAAAGTCTTAAAATTAACTAGGGAAATGTGTAGTTCAATACTTGCATAGGAACTATATATTGCTTCTTGAGAAATGTTAACAAAGATGTATTTTCTTCATCTCAATGATAAATCACACATAATTCTGACACCCACACACATAAATATTATGTGTAAACAAAGATACACAAAAACACAAACATACAAATCAGAAGAGATCTTAATTGGAATATCAGAAGCCAAATTCATGCTAGATGAACATCAGAGTCAGTTCTGAATTCTCTGAATTTATCGACTGTTTTACTTTGTGGAAGAACTGACATTCAGTCTTGCTATAATCAGGAGAATTCTCAGACTGCCTGAAACAAAAATGTGCCAGAATATATACAGTAAGTGCTTAACCAAACCTCATATAATGAATAAACCATCTAAAGATACCTTAGCATTTAAAGCTATACTTGATATTCTTCAATACTGTACCTCAAAAGGTTATAGCCTGGGAGTTAGTAGGGTTTCATAGGAAGTAAATAAGATCCGTCATCAGAAGATCTCAGTTTTAAATATGGACACTGACCCTTACAAGCTCCGCAACTCTGAATAAGTCACTTAACCTTTCCCTGAGGTTTTCTTTTTTTAAAATGGGGATAATAATATCTAGACTACCAATTACAAAAATCAAATTAAAAAAATTTTTAAAGTATGAAGGAGCTTTATAAAGCTTTTACCACTTTATAAATATGATACTTAAAAATACTATTATGATATAAATAACTGAGTTAACTACATATGTGATAATTTCTCCAACGTTAGCATTTTTGTTCTCTGAATGATTTAAGATATAAACTCAGTTTAACCTATTTCTGAAAACAGAACATACATTTCTTCTACATACACTGTGGAAGATTGACAAATTATTAAGATATATTGTGACACTTACTAAAAGCATAAGAATAAATAACCCTTTCAGTCTCATTAAGAGCCAAATTCCAAATCTAAGGTTCTGTTTTACTTACGTTTATATCTGTATGATATATGAGGACACATAATGCTGGCAAAATCTGAGGGAAGAAAACAAACGATAAATAACTATAGAATTGATGAAAATGTCTTTGCAAAAATGAGTAACTGTGATTTTTTTAAAAAAGCAGTAAATACTATTTGAGTGCAAGAAAAACAACATTAAGTTTTTTGAATCTCTATTAGGAAAATTAAAATACAATAAATTCAATCTGAAACACCAAAAAATATTTCAGATGTTTAATTAAAATACTCAAGTAAGTCTGACAGATTAATACACCTTAAAGGAAAAACATTTGTTTTCAATAACCTTCTTTATGACATGTCTACCGGAAACAGTGGAGATGCGAGTATATAGTTATTTTTAAAAAGCCATTCTTAAAACTGATCTCATTGTCCCACTTACCTGTTTAAAGTAAAACTAAGATTTTATTTAAGAACTACTTGAGTCAAATTAAAGTTTCTGACCTCAGATTTAGTCAAGAGAAGTATGACCAGTATAAAGTCTGTTGAATGCAGACATTTCAAATCTTTTCTTTAAATCCGTGAGGGAGTGGGGGGGAATCACTAAGTACCCTTCCCATATGGGCAAGAGGTGGCAGAAGATGGTGAATGATGCCAATTATAAAGTTTAAAGATTCACAGTCAACATTTCTCTATTTAGTCAAGTGATTAAAGGTTACAAAGGATTTTATAAAACTTAAAACACTCAGATCCATTTACGAATCAGATATAAACAGCAAAGATTTTGCTTTGTTTTAATTAGCAGTTTAACACAGCAATTTAACTCTAGAACATTTGCATATAAGTACACTAGATTTATCTGCAGCAATCCCTTATTTTTTAGTGTTAAATCAACAATTCAATGTAGTAATAAAACTGAGATTTTATTTTCTTCTTTTGTATTTTTCTGCTTCAATTTATGGTTTCTTGAATTAAGGTGGACTGTATTTGGTCAGGTGCCACAAGTCTCAACTTTTATTTCACAGAAGTCAAAAATTAAGTTATGATACATTATTTAAATATCTCATACCTGCAATGAAATCAGTATATGTGTTATTTCATTCCCTGTGCATGAAAACCTAAAGCATAAACATAGGGAAAATATACCATCTGGCCTTTGCAGTTCTTCATTTACCTCCTGAACTGTCTCCATAGGCGGTGGGGGGTCCTTATTCCTGCAGAGATTGACAATGACCCATGTGACGTTCCGAAGGAAGGTGATGGGAATGGAGGGATTGATGAAGGACAGAAGAGGTTTGACAACTCCCAGTGATATGACATAATCTCTACATTGAGGACCATCACCTACAGAAATGAAAATTGTATTTAAAAAAAAATTACATTCAGGATGAGAAAGTCTGAAATGTATGCAATGGCTCATGTTGGGACACTGATGTTCTATGTTTCCTCACCATCAGTCAAGGGCATCAAGTGTTGCTATTTCTCCAGACTTTGATCTGGGGAACACAAATTTAACCTACCAGTCCTGGGTAACAAATTGCATATCCATCTAAAGAGGTACAATCTTAAGTTAATATATATGAAGCAAGAAGTCAACCCACATTAAAATTAGAGGAAACATAGTGTGTAATGGCCAATGTAGGAAAAAAGTTAATTAAGATACTTAACTGGAGTGTTTTCAAACCTAATTTCAACTTACCTATAATGTTTCCCAAAGCCCATACTGCTTGTTCACAAACATTCTGATGTGGTGAATGGAGAAGCCTTAGAAAAAGAGGTACGGCATCTATAATAAAGAAAAAATAATATTTATACTGGAAAATGTTGAAGAGTTCACAGGTTTCAGCCTAAATAAGTTGATGAAGTATATATAGAGTTTGGTACACTAGAGTTGCTCAATTATAGTTCAGTGAATGAATAAAGGTAGCAAATACCTTTACCCTAAATATGCTATGTTTTAGTGTTTCCCCTAATCTCAAGCAACAGACTTATTGACAATATCTAGAACTGCAATAGTATTAATTAAATGAAAACAACAGCATGAAGTTTTTCCTGTAATTCATTAAAAAAAGGTTTCTACCTTAGAATACTTTAGTCAATATGATTCCAATTGTTGATATGGGATTAAAGAACTGATTATACCCATATCAAGCCTACCTTATATTTCAAGATAATTTATCATTATACTCCTTACTCTACACATAACTTATGAACTAACCCAAATTCCAAAAGACTGGTATCATATTCATTTCAGGTGAGAACTAAATATAAGGCAGATCACTTTCTTAAAATTTCAGTCAGTTGTATACTACCTCTAGGATTTTTAGCTGTATCTCTGCACTACCTGTATTATTGAATGTTTAAATTAAAATTGACTCAAACTTTAACAGCTTTACTGAGATATATCTGTTTAAGTGTACAATTCAAAGGTTCTTAGAGTTTATACAGAGTTGTGTAGTCATCACCACAATCTAATTTGACAACATCTCTACTGCCCCCAAAAGAAATCCTATACCCAGAAAGTCCTACCATCTTCTCCCCCAGCCCTAGGCAATCATTTACTCTCTGTCTCTACAGATTTTCCTGTTCAGCACATTTCACACAAATGATAGAAGGTCCAGCAAGTAAATAAGTTAATTTACTTACTAGACTGTACAACAGCTTGAGTCTGTGCAGAGGTTCCTGATGCTATATTAGTTAATGCCCATGCAGCTTCAAACTGTAATGAAGGACTGTAAAAAACAAAAAAAATCTTTAGACACATAACTACCATTTAAGACCCACAGATTACATGGTTATCGTTTACCTTGTCCTTGAATTTCGCCTCATTACGTCCAAGTGCCTGTTGAATATCTCCACTTCAATGTCTCATTTGCTCTCAAAGTCGGTCAATATAAACACTTCTTTAGGTTCATTGGCAATTGCAACATTTAGCCAGTCATTATTTTCCTTGATCTCTTTCTCTCCCACAGATATCTAACCAATAGGTCATATCAATTTTACCTCTTAAATATTTCTTACATTTATAGTGCCATCCAAAATATCACTGTGGTAGCTGAAGCCCTCATCATCTCATCTGAATCACTGCCACAACCTCTAGACAGGTTTTAAAATTCTGACTCCACTATATCACCTGCTTCACATACCAGCAATATTACAAGGCTACATAATTTTGCTGAAAGGATAAGATCATTATAATTTGGAATGGTGATGGAAGACTTCACAAAGAAAGTGAAAACTGAACTAGGTGTTCCAAGAGTGATAAAGAAAGAAAGGCACTAACAGCTGGAAATACAAATAAAACCACCATGGCTGGGATGATCACGATGTGTGCAGCTGACAACAACATAGAGACCAAGAGAGCTGAAGCCAAGAAGATATGCAACACTGTAACATGGGATAAAACTGCAAGGGTAAGTTACAGTGTGTGTGTGTGTGTGTGTGTGTGTATAAAACTGCAAGGGTAAGTTACAGTGTGTGTGTGTGTGTGTATAAAACTGCAAGGGTAAGTTACAGTGTGTGTGTCAGGCTAAAACTGCAAGGGTAAGTTACTGTGTGTGTGTGTGTGTGTGTGTGTGTGTGTGCGTGTAGCAGGACTCAAATCTCAGGATAAAACTGCAAGGCTAAGTTACAGTGTGTGTGTGTGAGGATAAAACTGCAAGGGTAAGTTACAGTGTGTGTGTGTGTGTGTGTGTGTGTGTGTCAGGATAAAACTGCAAGGGTAAGTTACAGTGTGTGTGTGTGTGTGTGTGTGTGTGTCAGGATAAAACTGCAAGGGTAAGTTACAGTGTGTGTGTGTGTGTGTGTGTGTGTGTGTCAGGATAAAACTGCAAGGGTAAGTTACAGTGTGTGTGTGTGTGTGTGTGTGTGTGTGTCAGGATAAAACTGCAAGGGTAAGTTACAGTGTGTGTGTGTGTGTGTGTGTGTGTGTCAGGATAAAACTGCAAGGATAAGTTACGGTGTGTGTGTGTGTGTGTCAGGATAAAACTGCAAGGATAAGTTACTGTGTGTGTGTGTGTCAGGATAAAACTGCAAGGGTAAGTTACTGTGTGTGTGTGTGTGTGTAGCAGGACTCAAATCTCAGGCTTCAGGACTTAGAATTTATTCTACAGACATACCAAGTGTAGAGTGCTACTGAAAAATGAAGTAAAGAAAACAATGTTGAAGTCCATGAAGAAGAGATAAAAATGGTCAAGGGCTGATATAAGAAATATCTGTTAAGAAGAAATTATCTATGATAAGTTAGGGTAGATAGCTGAAAAATATCAATTCTTTTCAAACAGAATGCCAAGGTGGGAGGAGGTGGGAATGAGCAAAAACCAAGGAAAGCCAAAGGTTAGGAACTTAGAAGAAACTCTATAAATATCAAAGAAAGAGAGTGAGGTTGTTAATATCAAAAGATTAGAGAGATCAGAGAAGGAAAAGGTTTTAAGAAGAGAAAATGTCAGTGATAATAGCAAGCAGTAAGGTTAAAAAGATGGAACAGACCAGACAATGAAGCAGCAGACAAGAACCATCAACACACGATGAACTTTGGCAAAAGGCAAGAAATAAGAGGGTATCGAAGTTGAGGAGAAATAAAGGAATGATAAAATCAAAGATGATGAGATAGTTTATGTTGTCTCAGACTAGAAGGAGAAAGAGTTATTAAACTAGGATATATGGTTTGGCAAACTACTGATAATGAGGGCCTGAAATGAGAAAACAGAAAGATGTAAAAATAGAATTACAAAGCTAGGGAAAGTCTTCTAAGATGTCATTTAAAAAGAGAGAGATAAGATAGAGAAAATAAGTAATAAAATGAGTGCAATAAGTAAACAATGAAGAAACATTTATTGTATGCTTGGTATTATGTGGCATTTTGTATACATTATTTTCATTCCTCGCAACCACCTAAATTTTATAGATTAGGTACCTAAGCATCAAATGCTATTTGGGTTTAGGTCAGTAGCAAACCCCAGATTTAAACCAAGGTCTATTCAGCTCCAGTCTTGGGTCTTTTATATTATGACACAACTGCTCATAACAAATCCATTAAGTCAGACTGAAACTATTGACAATTTTCTATTTTTACCTTCAGTGGTAGTTATACATGTCTGTATATATTTCAGCATACTCTTCTGTTATATATACAAGCTACATTTCACAGACACACCCATACAAATGAGCCCATGACAAAGACAAAAATGAAAAATAAATAAAATGGAAAAGAAGAGAAGAAAAAAGAAAAGCAGCTCAAGAGCCAAAAAAGAAAGAAACAAAGAAAAAAGAGGGCCCTAAAGGTAGAGGCAAACAGAATTTAAAAAAAAAAAAAATTGAAATAAAACTTATTTTTGCTTAAATAAATCTTACAGAAAACATATATGAAAGTATTTAAAAAGTTGTTAAGGGCTTTTGGAGAGATGGCTGTGCCACATAATGGAAAAAGAATGAAGTATTTTAAAATAATAAAAACCCTTAGTGGGAACATTTATAATGCTACTATTTTAATCTAGTCACCTGAAAATCTCATAGATAATATTTAGCAAAATACCCCCAAGTTTTAGTCTAAATGATCCTTAAAAGAAAAATGAGCCTTTGTTTAAATGTATTTTGGGGTTCAGACTTACATTCTACCCAGTTAACTCAAACTGATGAGTTTAAGATCTAGCACACCAAGATCTCTCCAAATACTAGTAGAAATGGGGCCAGTACCTCAAAAGATACCAAGTGGTGTTTTTCTCTTTCTACTTTGGGAAATTATAATCTGCCCTCTTATTTTTAATTTACCACAAATAAAAAACCATGATGATAGACAACTAATCATGGCTGGAGTTCTGCTAAAGACTTCACAGAGTATCAGTGGATCTGCTGGAATATTCCCAGGGTAAGAAAGAGCTACTCAGTTCTGGAAACCATTCATGTTGACTCAAGTCATGAGGTTAATCTATATATAGACTCATAAGCAAAGAATGACTCAAACACTATTTGGGTTGTTTTAAAACATTACTGAAGAAAAAGCCAACTAACAAATAAAGACTATAAATATTTGAGATAATTTAGAACAGACAATAAACAGACATTAAAATTTTCCTAGAAAATACACACACATACTTTATAAACAAAAAGAAAAGCACTTAGGTCTGCAGAGTATGATCACAGTATTAAGAAAATTGTGTTAAAATACATGACAAATGAAAAATGTGATAAAGGCAAAACCAAATGGAACCCATTACTTAAATAATAATCCCAAATTTTCAGTTGGCTGAAAAAAGTGAACAGGGAGTCAAATCCATACTTACTTATCATCCCTTTCTAGACATTTCACTAGAATTGGTAAAATCCCAGATTTTATTAGGTCATCAATTGGTGGATTTCTGTCACTGGATAAAAGCTTTCTACAAAAAGAAGTATGAGAAATTAACTGCTGTAAGTTTCAAACTATGAACAGAAATAACAATGTACTACTACTTCTAGACCAGGTGTGACATAATTCTCTCTCTGGACAAATTCATCCTTACCTTGCAGCCTGGACAGCACTCAACTGGACCACTGGGTTATCACTTGTGGCATTCTGCAACACCAAACATAAATTTCAGAAATTAAAAAAAAAAAATCAATTTCAAAATACTTCAAAAAGAGAATATTAAATTAATAACATACCTGCAATATAGCTTCTAGTGTTACATTTTGCTTAAAAAGAAAAAAAGATAGTTCAGCAAAGAGTTTAATAGCAAAATTACATTAATTAATGTATTTACTAAAGTTAAGAGTTAATATACCCTAATTATCATTGTAAAATTAGTCTTAAGATTGAGAATAAAGTTCTCTGGTTAGTATAAGAATCACTTTTACAACACCTTATAAGCAAGGTTAACTTACTGCTTTAAAATCAGCATCAACATCTGAATCTTCTAAACTTTCCTCTTGGGGAACATTTCTTTTTTTCAGTAAGTGTTCATCTCTTTTGTTCTGAAAGACAACCAATAAAATAGTTAAGTTGTAAAGGCTGCTGGTAATGAAAATGTCATTAAAATTATTTCAACTTTATCAGCCAACTGTGAAATAAACACTAAATCTTTTTATAAGGATAATATGAATTAAATATGTATATTGCAAATCAATGACAGGACACATTCTGGATTTGGTAACAAAATTAACTGGTTTAAAGACCAGCACTCAGACACACAATTTATTAGGCAGCAACTGTTTTCATCAATACTGTGCTTCCTAATTTGTAATGAAGATTCAAATTTTAAATTATTATGCTGCTGCTGCTAAGTTGCATCAGTCGTGTCCGACCCCACAGACAGCAGCACACCAGGCTCCTGTGTCCCTGGGATTCTCCAGGCAAGAATACTGAAGTGGGTTGCCATTTCCTTCTCTTATTATAAAGGTCCAGCAAATATATTTCAACTAGTATACTAGCTTTCATCAACTTACTGCTAATGGTTGCCTGAAGCAATGCATTTATTAAGAAGCCAGCTTAATGAGGGTTTATTGCTCAAATGTTAAGATTTCTATGTATCTATGTATCCCACTTATTGGGAGTGCAGGAATAGGAATTCACTAGCAAAAATGTCCTCTACTTCCTATTACCTCAGTTTTAAACTCTTATTTCTACATTTTATGGGATTTGAATTCTTTGTAATGGCAATGTGTGCCATTTTACATAACATATAACTGGGTAAATGACAATTTTTCTTTTTTTAGTTTGTCTACAGAATTAAAAATAGATAAAAGACTCTGATATCTAAGATTCTTTTCAATTTAAAACTTCCAAGACTTTACCTTCTGGTCTTCAATATTTACAGAAGTGTTTGATTACAACAGAAACGTACTGATGATGTATTAATACTGATGCTAAAAATTCAGATCAAATAGAAAAACCAGAGACAGAGGAGACTTACTAGGTCACATGCATGGCATTTACTTTTGCACTCTGTGTAAGTAATCATGTTTAAACTAGATGCTTACATGTACACTAATGCTTAAGAGATTACCAACTTCAAATTATATCACAGCACATTTAGTATCTACTCAAATAATTAATTCTACATTATTTTCAAATTAATGTGTCTCACAAATATGAAAATCATGCACTGATATTTTATAGTCTCAAGTGGCTCCCCACAGAATACTTAACTAATTTACAGAGAAAAAACTTGGCAGATAAGTGTCCTGATCAAATGGCAAAAGTTGTAATTGAGTAAAGGAAAAATACATATAACTCAGGGAATTCTACTCAAAATTCTGTAATGGCCTATATGGGGGAAAATAAAATCTTAAACAGAAAATATGTCTCTTCAAGGAAATTAGTGATACCAAGAGACCATTTCATGCAAAGATGGGCACAATAAAGGGCAGAAACGGTATGGACTTAACAGAAGGAGAAGACAGTAAGAAGAGGTGGCAAGAATACACAGAAACTATACAAAAAAGATCTTCATGACCCAGATAACCACAATGGTGTGATCACTGACCTAGAGCCAGACATCCTGGAATGCAAAGTCAAGCAAGTCCTCAGGAAGCATCACTACGAACAAAGCTAGTGGAGGTGATGGAATTCCACTTGAGCAATTTCAAATCCTAAAACATGACGCTATAAAAGTGCTGTACTCAATATGCCAGCAAATTTGGAAAACTCAGCAGTGGCCACAGGACTAGAAAAGGTCAGTTTTCATTCCAATCCTAAAGAAAGGCAATGCCAAAGAATGATCAAACTACTGCAACACTGCACTCATCTCACACACTAGTAAAGTAATGCTCAAAATTGCCCAAGCCAGGCTTCAACAGTACGTGAACCATGAACTTCCAGATGTTCAAGCTGGATTTAGAAAAGGCAGAAGAACCAGAGATCAAATTGACAACATCCGCTGGATCACTGAAAAAGACAAAGAGTTCCAGAAAAACATCTGCTTCTGCTTTATTGACTATGCAAAGTCTTTGACTGTGTAGATCACAACAAACTGTGGAAAATTCTAAAAGAGATGGGAATACCAGACCACCTGACTTGCTTCCCTGAGCAATCCGTATGCAGGTTAAGAACGAACAGTTAGAACTGGGCATGGAACAACAGACTGGTTCCAAATTGGGAAAGGAGTACGTCAAGGCTGTATATTGTTCCCACGCTTATTTAACTCATATGCAGAGTATATCATGTGAAATGCCGGGCTGTATGGAGCACAAGCTGGAATCAAGATTGCCGGGAAAAATATCAATAACCTCAGATATGCAGATGACACGACCGTTACGGCAGAAAATGAAGAGGAACTAAAGAGCCTCTTGCTGGAAGGGAAAGAGAAGAGTGAAAAAGCTGGCTTAAAACTCAACATTCAGAAATCTAAGATCATGGCATCTGGTCCCATCACTTCATGGCAAATAGATGGGGAAACAGTGGAAACACTGAGACTTTATTTTTTGGGGCTCCAGAATCACTGCAGATGGTGACTGCAGCCATGAAATCAAGGGACACTTGCTCCTTGGAAGAAAGGCTATGACCAATCTAGACAGTATATTAAAAAGCAGAGACATTACTTTGCCAACAAAGGTCCGTCTAGTCAAAGCTATGGTTTTTCCAGTGGTAATGTATGGATGTGCGAGTTGGACTATAAAGAAAGCTGAGTGCCAAAGAATTGATGCTTTTGAACTGTGGTGTTGGAGAAGACTCTTGAGAGTCCCTTGGACTGCAAGGAGATCCAAACAGTCCATCCTAAAGGAAATCAATCCTGAATATTCATTGGAAGGACTGATGCTGAATCTGAAGCTCCAATGCTTTGGCCACCTGATGTGAAGAACTGGCTCACTGGAAAAGACCCTGATGCCGGGTAAGATTGAAGGCAGGAGGAGAAGGGGACAACAGAGCATGAGATGGATGGATGGCATGACTGGCTCAATGGACATGAGTTTGAGCGAGCACAGTGAAGCCAGGTGTGCTGCAGTCAATGGGGTCGCAGAGTCTGACATCACTGAGAGACTGAACTGAACTGATAGCTGATTTACAACGTTGTGTTAGCTTCAGGTATACAGCAAAGTGAGTCAGCTATCAGTTGCTTCTCCTCCTGCCTTCAATCTTTCCCAACATCAGGGTCTTTTCCAATGAGCCAGTTCTTCACATCAGGTGGCCAATCAGATTCAGCATCAATCCTCCAATGAATATTCAGGACTGATTTCCTTTAGGATTGACAGGTTTGATCTCCTAGCAGGCCAATAAAAAAAAATTTTTTTTAAATTTCAGATACATTTTAAAAAGACAAAACAGTAAATGAAAATCAACACAGTATGCCTTCTCATCAATGTGCTGAGAAAACAGTATCATCTTGGTGGTACTCCTGAGCAAAATAATAGTAATAATAACAACGACCATCTGAGAAAAGTCAGACAAACATAAATGGGCCATTCTATTAAAAAATCAGTCTATATATTCAAATACACTGTCATGAAAGATATAGACTGAAGAACTACTGGATCAAAGGAGACTTAAGAAACGATACAACTAATTGCAATGTCTAATCCTAGATTGGATCTTGGATTTATAAAAGAATATTATGGGAAAAAGCTAGCAAAGTATGAGTGATGGTCCATGGATTAGATAGAAATTTAGGTGAACTTGAAAAAAGAACTGTGGTTACACTGGAAGGTGTATGAAAACAATGTATTAAGGGTGTAAGGGGGCACCATGCCACAACTTAACTGGTTGGGGGGTTATATAAATATATATATTTATTTATCAGGGAGAAAGTGAGAATAAGGCAAATATGGGAAAATGCCAAGAATCAAGGAAGTTGGGTGTTGAGTGCTGTACTTTTCAGGTACTATTCTTGAAATCCTGAATTTCAAACTGCAAGTATGAAATTTTTTCCAAATTAAAAAAAATGTATGCTTTTCACTTTGTGAATTACAACATAGTTAACCCTAAAATCCATTATTGTTTGTTATTCAGTCGCTAAGTTGTGTCTGACTCTTAGCAACCCCATGGACTGCAGCACACCAGGCTTCCCTGTCTTCCACCATCTTCTGGAGTTTAAGTTCATGTCCATGGAGTGAGTGATGCCATCTAGCCATCTCAACCTTTTGCCTTTCTTCTCCTTTTGCTTTCAATCTTCCCCAGCATTAGGATCTTTACCAATGAGTAATCATGTGGCCAAAGTATTGGAGCTTCAGCTTCAAGCATCAGTCCTTCCAATGAATATTCATCAGATATTTAGGACTGACTGGTTTGATCTCCCTGCCGTCCAAGGGAATCCAAGAGTCTTCTCCAGCACCACAATTCTAAACCATCAATTCTTTGGCACTCAAGTTTTTTTATGGTTCAATTCTCACATCCATACCTGACTACTGGGAAAACAACAGCTTTGACTATACGGACCTTTGTTGGAAAAGCAATGTCTCTGTTTTTTAATATAGTGTCTAGGTTTGTCATAGCTTTCTTTCCAAGATGCAAGTGTCTTCTAATTTCATGGCTGTAGTCACCATCTGCAGTGATTTTGGAGCCCAAAAAACTGACATCAAATTGCCAATATTCGTTGGATCATAGAGAAAGCAAGGGAATTCCAAAAAAACATCTACTTCTGCTTCACTGACTATGAGAAAGCCTTTGACCGTGTGGCTCACAACAACACGTATTATATGGTAATTTTTAATACTTGTTTTTTAAGCCATCTAAAAAGTTTCAACAAAGTTGACTGATTTGACAGATAAACAAAACAAAAATTATTCTAACCCTGATTCTATTCTCATCCTCTGTTTCCTCTAACTTTACCAGAGTCTGAATAATTAAGCTTTCTAAGGTCTTTCAGGGATCTTACACCCCCTATTCCTCCTACTCTCCCAGGTATTTCAGGCACAAAAGTAATACAAGAGCATAAGCACAACTAAATCCTCCTCTGTACACAGATGCCCAATCCAGGGATAGCATTTTACCATTATATATTATGTCTGCTGTAAGGAAGCTCCTTTCTAATTCGCTAAAT